TTTGGATGTTTTCGCTTGGTGTTTTGGCACTTTTTCGAATGTTTGCAGGTTTTTTTAACTTTTTGTCACTTTTTTGAACGTTTGCCATTTTTTTTAAATTCATGTCACTTTTTTAGTGTTTATCACATTTTTTTATTGTTTGTTACTCTTTTTTTTCCAATCTCTATCACTTTTTTAGTGACATATTATTTTGGGATAAAAGTGATATTGTATTTCACTTCACTTTTTAATGAAAGTGATATTATGTCATTTTTTAATTAAAAAGTGATATTAAAAGTGACATTACACTTAACTTTTTATTAAAAATTGATAAAATGTCACTTTTATTAAAAAGTGTTACAATTCACCCAAAAAAGTGATCGAGGTTTCGTCATTTTTTTGAGTTTTTATCAATTTTAAAAAATTTTGTTACTTTCTTGAATTGATTCCAAAGTTTTGATTATTGTTTTGTTACATTTTTTAGTCGTTACATTTTTAATTTCTGTCACTTTATTAAAATGAATCTAAAGTTTTAATTTGTGTTTTGCCACTTTTTGAATTTTTATCACTTTTTGAAATTTTTGTATCTTTTTCTTATATTTTGTCACTTTTTCCTATCACTTTCCAAAAAAATTGTCACTTTTTTTAGTAAGAAAAATCACTTTTCAGTAAAAATGAGATTGTATGCCACTTTTTAATAAAAAAGTAATACTTAACTTTAAAAAGCTACATTGTGAAAAAAATGTGACACGGTATTTTTTACTTCCATAATACTTTTCATATGATTTTTCAAAAGGTTCATAATTTTAAGGGTATTTTTGTAATTTACCCATCAAAATTTAGGTCAGATTGGATTGGATTTCCGGTTATCTATTAAAACTCAATCAAACTCAACCCAATAAATTAAAAAATATATTAAAATTGAAATTAATATTTAAAATCAAAAACCTAATGATCAAAATTCTCGTTTGCCTCTCATCGTTGTTTGTGTCTTGGCTTCTCGACTCTTTTTTTTACTAAATACTTGGATTGAAGGAAGATATTTTGTATTGATTTTGGATGATTAAACATTTTTAGTATTTATGTTGAATTCATTTTATTAAATAGTATAATATGCAAGTATTCAATATGTATTTAGATTTATTTATAATGTGTATTTAATTTGATATATAAACTGTTTAACATGTTTTACAATATTTTTAATTTATATTGTTCTATTGAAGTGAAACTTAACCCCACGAATCATTGATCTAACTTCAATCGACTTAAAACCTTTCAAATCACCATTTTAAATATAACTGAAAATGATCTAAATTGAAATGGTATCAAACTTTAAAAAATTTGTTTAAATTCAACGAAAAAGGTCCAAACCATTGGGCCTATAAAAAAAAAAATCTAACTTGAATTGGACTCAAGTCCGAGTAGTAAGTTTGGGTTTCAACGGTGAATGTGTTGATTTCGATTTGAATTATTGTCAAATCGAACATGTTGAATTGAGTTTGTGTTGAAATCAAAACCAATCAAACCCAATCCACACCCAATCCAATTGCCGACCAATATTACATCACGAGGAAATTACACCAAACCATGTCTTTTCTTTTACATTTTAAAAATTCAGGATTTTAAGTTTTTTATTCAATTATCAGGTTTTTATAATTTTAATTAATAATGATTTTATAAAATTAAAATAACATATATACCCACCC